AGATCAAGAGGCGCAATTTCTTCGTAACAATATTCACGCGGATCAATCGCCCTACTACTTGAGTCAAATTTCAAGCGATAGCGTTACACTGCCAACTGATTTGCAGTCTAGAGAGATATTAATACCAACACGTGGTACTTTGGATACTAAGTGGTGTGGCATTGCAGCTGATTACTGGATGGTTTTTATCGTCTTTTTTTTAAGAAATCGTACGGCGACCACGATACAATATTGTCGTCAGTTGGCAAGACAATTCATTCTCCTTACATGATTTCAAAATACTGTTCTTTGGTAACAAATGTTCATCTTTAGAGATTACCTCATACTAGCCTCAGCTGACTTTCGCAAAATGATACAGCTTGTTCATGACTAGGTTAGTATTCCATAGAAGAATGGCGTGAACCCATATTATGATCATCTTGACAAAATAAAACTTTGCCAAATGTCATAGCTCATGAAATGTTGCATAATTCTAATGTCTTTTTAATCCCTTGAATTGTGCCTGCCGCGTTTGAGACTCTGTCCATGGTGTTTTGACTTGTTATTTCACATGGGATGGAGTATATTGCAGTTTCCAGCTAAAATAAAGTTTCTATGAATTTTTAATTCTTTAAAGAAGTCGTTCCATTCTTGTAGAGAAAAGGAGTATTAGGCCATTAATGCATGGTGTATGCGTCCCTAACCAATATAGTTGCCATGATTTTTCAATTCTTTAAAGAAGTCGTTCCATTCTTGTAGAGGAAAGGAATATTGGGCCATTAATGCATGTGTTACATCCGAGGAATATTCCTTTTCCGTCGGTATTCGGGTCGCGACCGAATTGACTCGCAGGAATGCATTAACGCGGCATTCTGCGAAAGCGATCGCGTAACTCCAAAATGCGCATGAGTGACAAATGAGAACTCGATTTGGCACACTTTCGGGTACAAAAACCGCCGACAAGCGCAAGTAAAGAGTTGAACGCGAGTAAAGAGTTGATTGCTCGTGACTTTATACTTCGAGGTTTCCTTCGCGCACGGCCAGCGGTCATTCGTGTATCGTATCTCCGGGTCTGATAATACAATACAAGACCCGTAAACAGTTAATTCCGGGAGTGCGTGCGCCATCGCGTAGGTCCACCGCGAAAGATAAGACTATCATCGACGTCTAGAGGGGCGACGATATACGCAAAACCTCAGACCCGAAAGATTTGCTTATATAGAATATCCACTGTATAATGCTTCTAGAACTGAAATGTTAACGTTACTTACTGTTGTTACGCTTAGGTATTATATTTTTTAATTTTTTCTATCACCAGCCAAATAATTCTCCATTCTACCAAGTATCTGTAATTTATTATTGATTACCTCGTGATTTTGCTTGATCTTATAACACTATCCAGGAATACTATTCGTACTGTCCTTTTTGGTGTCAACTATAGTGCTGATAATGAGTAATTACTCACCGAATAGCGTGAACGATCTAAAGGCTAATGATAATTTGGTCTAGTGAAAGTCCTTTCGTAAAGATTGATACAAATGTTAAGGATTGAATACTAAGGTTAATAGTAATAACGAATCAATTTTAAAAATAATAACTACTCTTAGTTTCACGGCATACAATTTTCCACGCTCTCACACTCCAGACGATTAGAAAAATTATATCAAATAATATCAACTTGAAATAACATCTACAATTTAATAGGTTTGATTTTGTCTTAAACTAGTCTCCATTTGCCAACTTCATTGCATTCGAACAATTACGATTCAATTTTTTGTCAGTCGTTCCTCTAAAGCAATTTCTCTCAATACTCTTTCAATCCATATAATTTATTTCACTCCTTCCACCATTGTTTTTAGCTCGCTTTTTGTTAATGTTAACGCGACTATTGACTATTCGCATTCAATTTTTTTATATGAATTTCTTTGGAATTTCATTATGTACTGAATGGTACCTTTCAAAAAACCTTTTAATTTTTTTATATGAAACTGTCGAGGATCATTGTTGTGTTGTGATAAAGAATTTAAAATGAGGCATATTTTTATGCCTCGTTACGAGTAGCCACTAGGCCCGCCGGCCTCTCTCCTCCGCCCTGCCAACCCCTCGCGGCGGGGCGTATGAAATGTGTGAGTGCGGTTTTTCTTTTTTCTTTGTACTTTTATACTTTCTTTTATTATTATTTCCCGTATAATTTCGTCGCTCTGGCCCACTGTGCGATAGGACGTTCGCGAGGAGTTGAAGCTACGACGCGCTAACACGAACACGTATACGACGAGCACACTTTATATTTAAATTTACTTTAACTAGGGGGCTTTTTTTTTTTTTATCGTGGGGAAAATCTTCGAAAGATACCCCGCACCCCTTGGGGAGGGTGCGGGGTTATGCGGGATTTTTACCCGCTAAAAACCCCACGGCGACCTTCTCTATCTGGGGGCGCTCCGGGACCTTTGGGTACTACTTTCCGGTGCGCTCCCTCTCTTGCACCTTGGTGCCCTCCTCCGGGGGGTCTAATGGACCCCCCACTGACACCATTCTCTTAACGGCCAGCTCCGGGAGGTCGCGCCCAGGGCCGGCCCCATCGCGGATCGCGTGCAATGGCGTCTGGGGTTGGGGCCCCGACTGCTTGACTGCAGACCCGTCCTTTCGCCCTCCCAATTCGTGGGAGGGCCAGGCTGCGCTGGCCGCAGCCTACCTCCTTCTCATAAGGGGGCGTTCTAGCCACGGCGGCCACGGGAGCTGCCCCGTGCCGCCGTACGCCCCCTTCTACTCCCGCGGGCGGAAGCGCTACCTCCCCCTCCGCCGCCTCCTTTTGCGACATGACAATCTCGCAAAAGGAGGCGAAAGCTGACCATGACCTCTCACTGGCAAGGATTCCATGAATCACTGACGCCAGCGAGAGGTCCCAACCAATATAACACTGAAGTGCTACCCGGTGCCCTGCAAAAGCAGGGCACTCCATCAATGTGTGCTCTGCATTATCATGCGGAGCATCACAGTGGTGACAGCATGGTGTTTCCTTTTTTCCTATCCGCCACAGGTACCCACCGAAGCATCCATGTCCGGTGAGTACCTGGGTCCCCCATATTGACCCAACCTAACCTAACCTAACCTAACCTAATTTTGCCTTGCCTGGGAGTAAGGGGTGTTCGAGGATGTTCAAACATATAATATATTTAATCGGTGCAGCGACGTATAAGGTCGCCACGCCAGTTCGTCAGCGCGAACCGAAGGGGCTGGAGCTGCAGAGCTTCAACTTCGGACTCCAGCCGGGGAATCCCCTGCTGACGGAGGTCACGGAGGCGCCAGAAAACTCTGGCGTCTCCCTCCGCCATATAATGGAAGGGGACAAACCCGGCTAGAGTCATCGCCGCCCCATAGGAGACCGTGCGGTACCCTCTGATCGATCTGATGGCCAGCCGATGCTGCACCCGACGCGGCAATTTCTTGCTGGTCGGGCTAGCTTGGCCATCAAAAGTGCCGAATGCACCTACCCTAACCCAACCTAACCTAATCTAACAGCTTCGAGTTGGAACGTATCGTATCGGTAGAGCTTCGAAATGGAACGCTTCGAATTGGAACGCGTCGAGTCGGGACCGTTCAATCGGGACGCGTCCATTCGGTCGACGTCCAAGTAGGACACCCCCATACACTGGTCTCTGGATTGGCGGCAGCAGATCGGTCGTTCGTCAGAAAGTTTCTGCGAGCGGGATTGTTGAAGTCACCGATGTTCTGCAAGAAATCTCGGCGGAGGGCAGTCTGGTTCTTTTGTAACCATTGAAGCTTGTCTTCTTGAACGCGCAGAGCCTTGTCCACCAACCATTGCTGGAACAACTTGCCAGTGTCGTGCAAGTATTCCAGATCGTCGCGAATGGGCATTTGATAAGCGGCGTGTTCGCGAATTATCACATATTTCCGGACCTCGGTTGTAATAGCATGACGGATACCCGTATGCCATCCGATCATAGCATTTGTAAAGGGTCGGTGTTAGGAATGGCACGATGTTGAATTAGAAGTTGGTGTCGTTGGCGCGGAAGACCATAATGGTCGCCATACAACACTGTTACATTTTCGCGTGTAGTCGAAAGATTTGTCTGTCCAACGTGTATACCGGCGGCAGCAGGACCAGGCAACAACTGTATATGTACAGTAGAGCGTGGTTGTTTTCGACGAATCATTTCCTGCTCTTTTTCGTACGCATGAAGGTACTGTTGAGCGAGGGCTGAGTTTTCCTGCATAATCATATTGATGTCGTGGAGTATCCGAGGATTCAATTTAGTGGCCTCGTAGCGGAGTCTTGTGGCTGTTTCAGTATTGCAAAAATACGCAGACCCATACGGCATATTTGCGTTTGTACGCGAACTATCTTCTTGGTGCAAGGGGCCAATACGGTGAAAGATTTCTCCTCTACCAGTGAGATAGTAAGCGCCAGGCGGAGGGTTGTCAATTTTAAAACCCAGAGAGCAGAAGCTAAAAGCGGAATTCAGGTAGCGGCTGTTATCCTGAAAATAGTTGAAATCTATGTGGTCTGGGTTGGTGAACACCTGACGCAGGTACGGGTGGATCGGCCGAAGGGTAAGTGCAACTTTTCCGTTGGAACAGCATGTTAAAAAGTATCCAGACTTTGTGCGCTCTGCTTCAAAGTGTTTAGCTGAACAGTGAATGCAGAGGACATTCATCGGACCAAGGTGATAATAAGAGGCCTCCGTTGATGGCTTTGTGGCCATGGCTGCCCCGTTCGTCGTGCGGCTTCTTGGCGTTCTTGTATACGGTACTTTTTTTCCCTCTGTAGACGACGCCGACGATGTTCGTCAATCCCGGCACATGTACGTCTACCTTGTTGATCATCTTCTGTGGGGACCAACCACTGCGGACCAAAACAGTGCCGTTCGGTGTATGAAAATACTATGAAATTAATTCTTTTCTTAAGAAAATTTTGTACCTTACCTTCAGGAATCCCCAGAAGAAAAAATCCAGCGGGTTCATGTCGGGTGACCTGGGGGGCCATGCGACAGGGCCGCCGCGCCCGATCCTACCTATCCTGAAAGGTGTAATCTAGGAAAGCTCGAACACTTGCGGCATAATGGGCTGGAGCACCATCATGTTGGAAAAACATGTTCTGTCGAATCTCTAGTGGAATTTCTTTCAAAAGATTCGGCAGAACATGCTCCAAGAACACTTTATTAGTTGATCCGTCCAATCTGTCGGGCAGAATGTACGGACCAACAATAAAGTCCTCACAAATGCCGGGCCAAAGATTCACGGACCAGCGCGTTTGCATTGCCCGTGGACGGATCGCATGCGGATTTTCATCATTCTACAAATGCGAATTGTGGGCATTAAAGCAGCCTTCTCTGGTGAACCCAATTCACCAATGGTTTTCGCAACGTAGTGCACGTCCGCGTTTTTCTTATAATGTTCTGCCAATGCCTTAGATTGACCGGCTGCGAAACTGTTCCGAAACGGATAAACTTCCACGACAAAACGCGTCAGGTTCTTTAGGGTGACATTGTATATCGAGCTCATCAGAACGGCCATCGCACCCACGTCGTGCTTCCGGCTTTTGCTGCCGACTTGTTAATGAGTTGTGGCCAATACCTCGCAGCGGCCGCGTCCGCCGCTGGGAAAGCAATACGGTCCTGCTGTCCAGCGGCCCTTTTCAAAGTAGTGCGAGCCTCCATCACTGTTAAAAAGCGAGAGGTAACGCACATACCGACAGGGTCCATTGAAACTAAACCCGACTTGGCGGCAGATCCACCTGGCGGTAAACTAGCCAAGAAGCTCTTCGGCAATCGACCAGACACGCGAGTCAAAAGGTTCATAAAACAATGAACGTCCTCGCGAAGGTGATCGGTCGAGTAGTCCACCGGCCATACGGAGTCCACATTTAAAATGCGAGATTCTCCGCTCCAATGCACACCCGGGATGGCGCACATTTGCCGGATTTGTTGACGATATGCTAAAGGAGTATCACCAGCGTTCACGCGCTCAAGAATATCACGAATATTAGAAGGCATGATGTGTAGCGCAGCATGTATGGGATCTTCAACGTCTGCGTCTGGCAAGAAAGCATGCCATATAGTAGATCCTTCGATCTTACCAATAGCGCCAAGAACTGAGGAGATGGCTACCGGCACCTGCGAAACACCAGCCACAATTTGGCGTACCTCCTCGCTAAAGAACATTAAATTCCGCAACGGGTACGACTGCATCTCACTCTGAATGAAGCGGGACTCGTACACCTTGTAAAAGGCCAGATACAAGCAGACGAATTAAAAACAAGACCCTTTTAGATAAACCTTAATCTATAAAACCTATATTTATTTTGATTGAATACAAAGGGGATATTGATTGAACGAACGATCAGAAATTACATGTTCAAAAAGATTAAGACTTTCCCAAAAAGAATCTTCCAGTGGCTTGTATGACCATGTCAGTGTCTTCTTGTCCCTCCAGAGTGGGTGTAACGTCCTCTATACGCCTCCATCCAGTAGTTCCTGCATCCAACGTTCCTTGATTCTTCTCCAATAGTTTGCGCAGCTTATCACGGAGGGTTGTGTAGCAGCTACTCACCAAGGATTGTAAGGACCTACCTCCACTAGCTTTGCTTTTCTCACTCATTAAGTGATTAAAGAATGCGTCGGAAAATTTCCTTTTTGTTTTGCCACTAAAGCAGGGTATAGATGATAGCTGACTATATGATGATGTTAACAGTCCAGTCTGATTTGCTTGAGACATCCTAGAATAAAATTTCTGTTTGACCGGCTCAAACGTGATTGAGGTGCCAGTAGTATTTGCCTTTTGGAAAATGCGACCTAATTCTTCTCCTGTATCCCATGTTGCTTGATTAGTTATTTGTGATAGAATTCCTAAATCTTCCTTGTAGGTTCCAAACATAGAGTGATAACATACTTGTTTTGCCTGACTGTCAGTAGCGCCATTTAAATTCAATTTCCACTTCGTACTCATAAAGACCTTGTAAAAAGCAAACGCACCATGCCCTGAGAAGTTGAAATTGCCGTATAGATCTATAGTATTGTAAACACTATTCCCTACTCTGTGGGATTTGTTGGTGAATATATAACTGAAAGCTGGTGGTGGTGGGAACATCCTCGTCGCTTGTCTAGTAGTTGCAATCAAGGCGGTGTCTGACATCAGCGTTATCAGTGTCCTGATTTCACGGAGAAACAAACATAGACACGACCGATCAAACGACTCAAACCTGCAAGGGAGGAAACCGGTGTCAGCCTGGTCATAGCACCATTAGGGGGCACAAAACGGGGACCGACGAAGCGGGGGAGAGAAGGGAGAGTGATGAAATCAAACCGAGCACCCTTCCGACCGAGGACCCTTCCGATCAACTGTTGATTCAGCAAGGAACCTAGTCGTCAGCCTGGTCATGGCGCCATTAGGGGGCGACAACGGGGACTGAGTGGAATCGACAGGAGAGAGGAAGGAGAAATTTTTACCGAGAGCAATGGGCTCATGTAGCGTTGTGGAAGAAGACTGGGGCGTAATAGGAAATGCGGGGAAAATTGGTAAGCGGCGATAACGCAAAGGATTAAAAGGGCGTAAGGGAAGGAGAAACATAAAGGGTTAAAAAGGCGCAAGGGAAGGGGAAACAGCGCGAAAACGCGATGGAAAGCGGTGCGTGGAAATTTAAAGTACGAAACGACGGCGAAGCGGAATATTAACAGCGAATGTGCGGTAAGGGAAACAAACCTAGTGGGGACAGAAATTTCACGAATTTTTATGAGTTGAAACTCATGTAACTGAGAATAGTATAGGATACATAGAGGTGACAGGATCTAGCCAGAAGGTAAACTTTTCTTGCTCAAGAGAGGGGGGGATTTTGAAATTTGAAAACAAAGCAGACAAAATCAGATAATTGCGACGAAATCAGAATCAAGTATAGAAAATAGACAGCGTGCTATGATACTTAGGTGCGAAATGGTGGGGAGAGGTCGCGGTTTTTTGCCGTATGTTCGAGCCCACCGGGAGGCGGTGCTGAGGGGGCGTTACAAGACAAGCTGGAGGTCAGCGCATTTTTGCCCGGGAGCCTCCCCTTAGATCTCGACGTAGCCCCTCGGGCCAAGATCCTTTGGTTGAGAGCATCCATTCTCCACACATGGAACACATACGCGAGGGGTGGGGAAGGGGTAGTCTTTCTTCCACAATAGCGAGCGATGGCCTAGCGCAGGTGGACTACGTCTTTCCAATAGGGAAGCCTGTCGGGTTGCCGCCACCCCCC